ACCATTTGTTTAGCATACTATCGTCTGACAGACCGTAAGGCATAGAACGTGACTGCAATTGCATTAATTTTTCCCAACCGTGGCGTTGCGACAGCGTGACACACGCATAAGCACGTAGAAAAAAGACTCAAGATCATGCCGATAGGTATGGTCGATATTCAGCAGCACCTCGATTGCCATGAACTCCATTGTGCCAGTCTGGTGCCGCGCGCCGCTTCGCCCACTTCCAACTTCTTTGGCAAGATCCAGATCAATCAGCATGCCAGAGTAGCCATCCGCCTTGTCTGGATCGGTGATTATTATGTTGTTCTCCGAAATATCCCGATGAAGGATGTTCCCATCCAGGTAAAGAGACCGGTGCGCCTTTATTGCATCACGCAGCGCCGTGAGAAGCTCCAACGGTGATTTGTAGTCATAGATCGGCCGGCCAGCGGGCGAGATCACGAGACACCGGAGGACACGGTTGTCGTACAGTTCCTCACCATTCTTGTCGAAGAGACTCGGTTTGTGCGCTGACTGAATGGAGAAAGCTAGTTCATTTTCCTCCTGAGTGTCCCTTGATGGCTGATTGGTGGAACGCGATCGTTTGGATGCCTGCATCCCCTTATCCGGGGATCTGCGTTTCCTGGAAGATGACTTTCGACGGATATCTAAGCGGCGCGGCTCGATGAGCGGCTGAGATTGATGAAATGAGGAGGTTGCGCTGGGGGGTGCGCTTTTGAAGTGGTGGCGCTTGTCGAATGTCAGACTGCAGCGCATGTCGGCGATGCTGGTGATGGTACTGTGACCGATGATCCTTGCAACTCCTTGGACATTCTTTTGACATGCTAGCTCAAGGAGTTCCACCTCCGGCCGCCGCTTGTCCGACACCCATGAGAATTTAGCTACGCCTTGTCCATCGTTTGTGAGAAAACATGTGGTCCCGCGACACACGATGGCATGTTGAAAGGAAAGTATTTCACCCAGCTGCAGCACTTTTTCATCTAGAGTTCCAGGCCCTTTGACAGTTATTGATTTGTTGCCGTCTTCATCCCCTAGCAATAAAACTATCCAGTCCTAGTTCCTCATCACTCATCATGGTGTAGCCAACAAGCACCTGAAAAGAACCGTCTTGAGTCCTTGTAGACGTCGATGACGCCGGAGCTATAGGGACCCGAACGGTCGAACACCCACGCCTCCATCTTGGTTCTCGCAGACGGCAAACG